GGGCGGCGAGGCCGGGCCCTGACGCGCCGCTGTGTGTCCGCAGTGAAGGAGGAGGGCGACCGCGAGATCTCCAGCTCGAGGGACAGTCCCCCGGTGCGCCTGAAAAAGCCCCGCAAGGCGCGCACGGCCTTCACCGACCATCAGCTGGCGCAGCTGGAGCGCAGCTTCGAGCGGCAAAAGTACCTGAGCGTGCAGGACCGCATGGAGCTCGCGGCCTCGCTCAACCTCACCGACACGCAGGTCAAGACCTGGTACCAGAACCGCAGGTGAGGCCCCGCGGTGGGTGGGGGGGAAAGGGGCCTTCCCTCTTCTGCAAAAGTGGGGAAACCGAGGCTCTAAGGGGAGAAAGTCCCAGAGTGAGGGACGGAGATGAGACTAGACTCGGTCTCCAGGGCCCAGTCGTCCTCCTCCAGGACAGGTGGACAGACACATGGGCCGTCGGGGGTCTAAGTCCTGCCCTAGAGCCCTCACAGGAGCCAGCCCTGGCCTGGGTCTTGGGACCTCTGAGCTCTCCCGATGGAAACCCCCGCTCACGGGAGGAGTGACAGCCTCCGTGTCCAGAGGACAAGCCCGAAGCGGCCCTTGGGGTGAGGCAGGCTGGGCCAGACCAGGCCGCTGCGGCGGGTGCCTGGAGCCTTCTGGGCACTTTGGGCCTCTCCTCCCGAAAGCTGAGGGGGACACGGGCCTAGTCCCAGCTCGTTGGGGACAGGGTGACTGGGAAGTTGGTGCTGGTGCGCGTCTTGGACCTGTTTCCCAGTTTCCCCTGGAACACATTCACCAGACTTATACACCTACGTCCAAAACACAAACACACAGCCACACACTCACTCCGCATAGTGACACACACGGACACGCACCTCCACACGACACACACTCACCCCCCGTGGTCACCCCCACTCGCGGCAGGAAGGGCGCTTTTCATAAACAAGCCTCACAACACATCACCCCATTAATAATAAATACCGATTACTGCTCCGGGCATCAATAATTAAGGCCCGTTACAGTAATTACACAATTATGACGAGGATGAATAATTCAGGGGGGGAGACGGGGCTGGTGTGGCTGCGCCCACCTCGGCGGGACCCCGGCCAGCCC